AAAAAGGTGAAAAATGGTTGGAAAAACGGTGGAAAAAATGGGGAAGAAAGATGGAAAAGTGGGAAAAAAGTCAAAAAATGGGGAAAATCTGTGGAAAAAACCAGGAAAAATCGGTGGAAAAATGGGGAAAAAAACGGGGAAAAATCCGTGGGAAAATGAGGAAAAAAATGGGAAAAAATTGGTGAAAAAATAGGGAAAAACCAGTGGAAAAAAGGGAAAAAATGGGTGGAAGAATGAGGGAAAAAATGGGGAAAAATTGGTGAAAAAGAGGTAAAAAAAGGTGAAAAAAGGGTAAAAAATCAGTGAAGAAATGGTAAAAAATGGTGGAGAAATGGGTGAAAAAATGAAAAAAGCAGGAAAAAAAATGGGAAAAATGGAAAAAATGGGGAAAATGGGAAAAAATGGGGAAAAAATGGGAAAAAATGGGAAAAAATGGAAAAAAATGGGGAAAAAATGGAAAAATAGGAAAAAAATGTGAAAAAATGGGGAAAAAAATGGGAAAAAATGGGAAAAAAATGAGGGAAAAAATGGGAAAAAATGGGGAAAAATGGGAAAAATGGAAAAAAATGGGAAAAATGGAAAAAATGGGAAAAAATGGGGAAAAAATGGAAAAAAAAAGGGAAAAAAAGCTGGAATAACGGCGGTGAGTTTTGAGGTGAAAAAGGTTAAAAAAAGGTAAAAAAGGTTGAAATATAAAAATGAATTTTGGGGGAAAATCCGTTGGATTTGGAAGTTTGGGAAGGTTCGGAGTCGGTGGAAATTTTGGTGTCGTGGTGCTTGGAAATGGTGGAAAAAAAGGTGAAAAAAAGCCCAAAATGGTTCAAAATGAAACCCAGAATGGTGGGAAAAGGATAAAAATGGAAAAAAAACGAGGGAAAAGCGGTGGAAAACGGTAAAAAATGGTGAAAAATGGTAAAAAAATGGTGGAAAACGGAAAAAAAGGGTCCAAAAATGGTGAAAATTGGTGAAAAAATGGTTGGAAATGGTCAAAAACGGTGTAAAAATGGTTAAAAATGGTGAAAATCGGTGAAAAAAAAGGTTAAAAATGGTGAAAAATGGTGAAAATTGGTGGAAAAAAGGTTAAAAATGGTCAAAAACAGTGAAAATTGGTGGAAAAATGGTTAAAAATGGTGAAAAATGGTGAAAATTGGTGAAAAATTGGTTTAAAATGGTGAAAATTGGTGAAAAAATGGTTAAAAAAGGTTAAAAGTGGTGAAAATTGGTTAAAAAATGGTTAAAAAAGGTTAAAAACGGTGAAAATTGGTGAAAAATGGTTAAAAAAGGTTAAAAATGGTGAAAATTGGTGAGAAAATGGTTAAAAAAGGTTAAAAACGGTGAAAATTGGTGAAAAACGGTGAAAAAAGGTTAAAAGTGGTTAAAAATGGTGCAAAATTGGTTAAAAATTGGTTTAAAAATGGTGCAAAATTGGTTAAAAATTGGTTTAAAAACGGTGCAAAAGGGTAAAAAATTGGTTAAAAATGAATTAAAAAATGGGTTAAAAACGGCAGAAATGGGGAAAGAAGTGAGGGAAAAATGAAATCGTGGAAGGAAGGAAAAAGGAGGAGAAAAGGATGAAAATTGAAAGGAAAATGGGAAAAAAAATGGGTGAATAAATTGAAAAAAAAAGGGGAAAAAATCCCCCAAAACGGTGGAAAAACGGGAAAAAAAAAAGGTGGAAAAAGCAGGGGAGAAATGGTTTGAAAATCCCAAAAAAAGGTGAAATTGAGGAAGGGAAAGGAGGAAAATTGATGGAAAAATGGTGAAAAAACGCAGGAGAAAGGGAAAAAACAACGGCAAAAAAATGAGGAGGAAAAAGGTAAAAATAGTAAAAAAAAAATGAGAAAAAATCGGTTTTAAATCGTTAAAAAAAGAGGAAAAAATTGGTTTGAAACCACAGAAAAAAGAGGAAAAATCGGTTTTAAAAGCCCAAAAAAAGAGGGGAAAATTTGGGTTAAATCACCAAAAAAAAGCGGAAAAATTGGGTTTAAATCACCAAAAAATTGGAATAAAATGGTTTAAAAACCCCCCAAAAAATTAGAAAAAAATTGGTTTCAACTCACCAAAAAATTGGGAATAAATTGATTTTAAATCTCCAAAAAAAGTGGAAAAATGGGTTTAAAAACCCCACAAAAAAAAGAGGAAAAATTTGGTTTAAAAACCTCAAGAAAAGAGGAAAAAAATTATTTTAAATCACGAAAAAAAGTGGAAAAAATTGATTTTAAATCACCAAAAAAAGTGGAAAAATTGGTTAAAAAACCCCAAAAAAAGAGGAAAAAAACTGATTTTAAATCATCAAAAAAAGGGGGAAAAATGGGTTTAAAAACCCCACAAAAAAAAGAGGAAAAATTTGGTTTAAAAACCTCAAAAAAAGAGGAAAAAAATTATTTTAAATCACGAAAAAAAGTGGAAAAAATTGATTTTAAATCACCAAAAAAAGTGGAAAAATTGGTTTAAAAACCCCAAAAAAAGAGGAAAAAAACTGATTTTAAATCACCAAAAAAGGGGGAAAAATGGGTTTAAAAACCCAAAAAAAAGAGGAAAAATTTGGTTTAAAAACCGCAAAACAAGAGGAAAAATTTGGTTTAAAAACCTCAAAAAAAGAGGAAAAATTTGGTTTAAAAACCCCAAAAAAAGAGGAAAAATTTGGTTTAAAACCCCCAAAAAAAGAGGAAAAATTTGGTTTAAAAACCGCAAAAAAAGAGGAAAAATTTGGTTTAAAAACCCCAAAAAAAGAGGAAAAATTTGGTTTAAAAACCGCAAAAAAAGAGGAAAAATTTGGTTTAAAAACCCCAAAAAAAGAGGAAAATTTTGGTTTAAAAAAGGCCAAAAAAGGGGAAAACGGGGCAGGATTTGGGATGTTTTTGCCGCCGGTTTTTGGGTGGAAAAAGGAACTTTTTGGGGCCGTCCAGGTGAGTATTTTTGGGGGGATTTTGGGGGTTTTGTTGTGCCTGATTTACCAACCTCTGCCTTTTGTGTGCTGCAGGTGTGAAAAAGCAGCGAAAACTCAAAATCCGCCGCTGTTTTGGGTTCAAAAAAGGCAGAAAAGGGCAAAAAAAACCATAAAAAAAATAAAAATTGGAATTTTGAAGCACTGGAAACGCTCAGGGCCAGGAGGGGAAAGAGAAAAGGGAGGGAAAAATTGGGAAAAATCGGGAATTTCTCCCGGATTTGGGGCTGATCCCAACCCTGCTGCGCCCAAGGAGGAAAAAGCGTCGGCGGCGAGGAAAAAAAAGCCAAAAAAGCCAAAAAAAAACCAAAAAAAAGCAAAAAAAAAACCCCAAAAAAGCAAAAAAAAAAATCCTGAAAAACAAAAAAAACCAAAAAAGCAAAAAAAAAACCCAAAAAAAGCAAAAAAAAACCCCAAAAAAGCCAAAAAAAACCCAAAAAAAGCCAAAAAAAGCAAAAAAAAAATCCTGAAAAACCAAAAAAAACCCAAAAAAAAAACCCCCAAAAAAGCCAAAAAAAAACCCAAAAAAGCCAAAAAAAACCCCAAAAAAGCAAAAAAAAAACCCAAAAAAAGCAAAAAAAAACCCCAAAAAAGCCAAAAAAAACCCCAAAAAAGCAAAAAAAAAATCCTGAAAAAGCAAAAAAAACCCCAAAAACAAAAATCCTGAAAAAGCAAAAAAAAAAAATCCCAAAACCAAAAAAAAACTCGAAAAAAAAAGCCAAAAAAAACCCCAAAAAAGCAAAAAAAAAATCCTGAAAAAGCAAAAAAAAAATCCCAAAAACAAAAAAAAACTCGAAAAAAAAAGCCAAAAAAAAACCCAAGAAACAAAACAAAAAAATCCCCAAAAAAAACCAAAAAAATCCCAAAAAAACCCACAAAAAATTCAGAAAAAATTCCAAAAAAAATCTGAAAAAATTCAGAAAAAATTCTGAAAAAATCTCGAAAAAATTCCAAAAAAGTCCCCAAAAAATCCCCAAAAAAAACCAAAAAAATCCCAAAAAAATTCTGAAAAAATCTCGAAGAAATTCCAAAAAAGTCCCCAAAAAATCCCCAAAAAATGCCAAAAAAAATAAAAAAAAAAACCGAAAAAATCCCAAAAAAATCCCGAAAAAATTCAAAAAGAATCACAAAAAAATCCCGAAAAAATTCCAAAAAAATCCCGAAAAAATCCTAGAAAAATCCCCAAAAAATTCCGAAAAAATCTGGAAAAAATCCAAAAAAAATTTTAAAAAAATCCCAAAAATTTTAAAAAAATCCCAAAAAAAATCCCAAAAAAATCCCCAAAAAATCCCAAAAAAAGAAAAAAAAAAAAAGTGGGATTTTTTCCGTCTTCCCGGATTTTTAGGCAGGGGTTCCAAAATTCCTGATTATCTTCTAATTTATCTCCTCAGCGGTGGTGAGCGTGGTGGCTTCAATAAATTTGGTGGTAAGTCCCAAAAAATTTGAGGTTTTGACCCCTCCAAAGGACAAAAAAAAAAAGAAAAAATTTGGATTTTTTTATATTTTTTTTGTATTTTTTTAATTTTTTTTTCCCCCCCATTTTTCCTGGAATGGAAAAGGGAATTTTAGGTGGAAAAACGGTGATAAAAAAGCGTTTTTTTGGGTAAAAAACGGTGGAAAAAATGTGATTTTTGGGGAGGAAAAAAGGTGATTTTTTTTTGGGGAAAAACGGAAAAAAAAAAGGTGATTTTTGGGAAAAAAAAGGTGATTTTGGGGAAAGAAAAAAGGTGATTTTTGGGAAAAAAAAGGTGATTTTTGGGGAAAAACGGTGGAAAAAAAAGGGATTTTTTGGAAAAAAAAAGTGATTTTTGGGAAAAGGTGGAAAAAAAGGTGATTTTTGGGAGAAAAAGTGATTTTTTGGGAAAGAAAAGGTTGAAAAAAGGTGATTTTTGGGAAAAAAAGGTGATTTTTGGGGAAAAAAAGGTGATTTTTGGGAAAAAAAGGTGATTTTTGGGAAAAAAAAAGGTGATTTTTGGGGAAAAAAAAAGGTGATTTTTGGGAATGAAAAAAGGTGATTTTTGGGAAAGAAAAAAGGTGATTTTTGGGAAAAAAGAGGTGATTTTGGGGAAAGAAAAAAGGTGATTTTTGGGAAAGAAAAGGTGATTTTTGGAGTGGGATGAGGTTGGAAAACGCTGCATGTGTGGAAAAAAAACGATCAAAAATGTCAGGTTTGGTGTTTTTGGGGGAAAAACCCCAAATCCGAGGAGTTTTGCTGGAAGCGCCGGTGACCTTGAGGATTTTGGTGGAAAAAACGGGAAATTTGAGGGTTTTATCCCAAAAAATAATAAAAAATGGGAATTTTGGGGGTCGGAGCCGCGGCGGAGCCGGAACTCGGAGGTTTTGCTTTTCCCAAATCCCAGAGGTTTCAGCCCAAATTCCAGAGGGGCTGAGGAGGTTTTTGGTGGGGTTTTTTTTGGAGGATGTGTAAAATAATTGTAATTAAAAAGTGTGGTTTGAGAGGAAAAAAAAATATGGAAAAAATGAGGGGAGGAGGAGAAAAAAAATGAGGGGAAATGGGGAAAAATGAGGAAAAAATGAGGGAAAATGGGAAAAAAAGAGGAAAAAATGGGAAAGATGAGGAAAAAAATGGGGAAAAAATGGGAAAAATGAGGAAAAAAAATGAAAAAATGAGAAAAAATTGGAAAAAAATGAGGAAAAAAGAGGAAAATAAAGAAAAAATGAGGAAAAAATGGGAAAAAAATGAGGAAAAAAGGAAAAACGGGAAAAAATGAGGGAAAAAAGGGAATATGAGGAAAAAAATGAGCAAAAAAAGGAAAAAAAGAGGAAAAAATTCAGGAGAAAATGAGGAAAAAATGAGGAAAAAAAGGAAAATAATGGGGAAAAAATGAGAAAAAAATGAGGAAAAAAATCGGAAAAAATGAGGAAAAAAATAAGGAAAAAAAGGAAAATAATGGGGAAAAAATGAGGAAAAAATGGGGAAAAAATGAGGAAAAAAAGAGGAAAATAAAGGGAAAAAATGAGGAAAAAATGGGGAAAAAATTGGAAAAAAATGAGGAAAAAAAGAGGAAAATAAAGAAAAAAATGAGGAAAAAAATGAGAAAAAATTGGAAAAAAATGAGGAAAAAATGAGGAGAAAAAGGAAAATAAAGGGGAAAAAAACGAGTAAAACCAGGAAAAAACTGGAGGAAGAGAAGGGGAAAATGAGGCAAAAGAAGGGAAAATCGGCGTTTCCGGAGCCTTTTTGGGGAGAAAGTTCCGGGCCGGGAGCGACCCCGGCGGGAAAAGGCGGAAAAACTCCGGAATTTTGGGTCGGAATTCCGGGATTTTAGCGGGAAAAGGGGGGGGGGGGGGGGGGGGGGGGGGGGGCTGGGGTTTGGCCACGCCCATCCCGTGCCTGCTCATTTGCATAATTTGGGGTTTTCTTTTGCATGTTCGGCGGGAAAAGGACCCCGGGATCAGGGGCCCAGGCACGAGCCAGGTGAGCGCTAATTAGCCTAATTAGGGGTTAATTAGGGGGGTTAATTAGTGCGGTTAATTGGGGGTATTTGGGGTTAATTAGCGGGGATAATGGGGGGGGTTAATGGGGGTAATTGGGGGTCATTAGTGGGGATAATTAAGGTAATTGAGGGTCATTGTTGGAGGTAATGAGGGGTGATTAGTGGGGTTAATTAGTCCTGTTAATTGCGGTGGTTAGGGAAGGAAATTAGGGGTGATTAGTGTGGGAAATTAGGGGTCATTAGTGGGGTTAATTAGGGGGGGTTAATTGGGGGTGTTTGGGATTAATTGGTGGGGTTAATTGGGGGGATTAGAGGGGGTATTACAGGTCAATGATGAGGTTAATTATGGGTAATTAATGGGTTTGATCGGGGTAATTAGTCAGAAGAAGGAGTTGGCATTAATTAGCGGGGTCATCAGTGGGACTTTTTAAGGTTAATTAGCGGTGATGGCGAAGAACGAGGAGTTGCCTGGGGTTAATTAGCAGTAATTATTAGCGGGGTGCAACAGCCATTTCCGGGTTTTGATGCTTGGGAGGGGTTAATGAGGGTTAACGAGCGGTGATTAGTGATTAATTAGTTAATTAATTAGCGATTAGTTGCAGGTGAGGAGGACAATTCAGAGAACGCCATCTTTGTGCAGGGGCTGGGGGAGATGATCAGTGATTAATTAGTTAATGGGTTGATTAGTGGTTAATTAGTGATTAATTAGTTAATGGGTCGATTAGTGATTAATTAGTGATCAATTATTGGTTAATTAGCGATTAATTAGTGATTAATGACGGGAGGAGGATAAGTGGGACAAGAACACGATCTTTGTGCAGGGGCTGGGGGAGATGAGCAGCGATTAATTAGTTAATGGGTTGATTAGTGGTTAATTAGTGATTAGTCAGTGGTTAATGAGTGATTGATTAATTAATTACCGGTTAATTAATGGCAGGGGAGCAGGATAACTCGGACAACAACACGATCTTCGTGCAGGGGCTGGGGGAAAACGTCACCATCGAGTCCGTGGCCGATTACTTCAAACAGATCGGGATCATCAAGGTGAGAGCACCTGGGCACACCTGAGATACACCTGGGACACCTGGGGACACCTGGGCACACCTGGGATACACCTGGGACACCTGGGGACACCTGGGGTACACCTGGGGACACCTGGGATACACCTGGG